CCCATGATAGCATCACAGCACTTTATGCACAGGGACTGTTATCCCTGTGGCCAGAGGGTCAGTGAAAGTGTGGATCCTTTAGCAAACCACAATTAGAAAAAAAAAACGTATCTTCTCCAATAACCACCAGCAGTTAAAGTGTTACTAAACCCAGGACCCTGCGTTCACTATATCTGGTCTCCCACAGTACACAGAACATGGAAGAGCAATTATTTTAGTAAATATAAACTGCTAAATACCTTTTCTCATCAGCAGTTAGAGCAGTCTTGTGACTTCAGCAGAGCACTGGTTAAAGCTTGTAGGAGGAGTTTTCTTTCAGCTCTAGGAGGATGAAAAACCCCTGACCCTCTGCCTGGACAGTGCTGATTGGCCCTGTGCTAATCACATGCACTCTCCAAAGAAAAAAAAAAAACCTCTCTAGCAATACACACTAAACTAATCATGTGCATGTTGCTATGGGTTCAGTCTGTTTTATCAGGAGATAAGACGTGGATATTTTAACAAGAGGAGGGGCAGAGAAATCAGAATCAAATGGCCTTTTTACACAATGCAGAGGATTAACCCCTTAGGTTCCACAGTGAGTATAACAAGCATGCTTTACTGCATATACAGACTGATTTTACTGTTGTGGGTTTAGTAACACTTCAAATAAAATAATGGCTGATTTTAGAACAAAGGGGAAATGATTAAAAACAGAACTGGACGTTTCCTTTAAGGAATGGATTTTTTTTTTTATAATCTCAATGTGATGTGTACATAGGTGCACAAATATTTAGGCTGTAAATACAGTTGAGATGACATTTATGAGAGAATGAAAGGTCAGGGATTCTGATTGTAATATGATATAGTTATGTTACCTTTCACAACACTTTAACTCTGTTTAGTACTGTTTTCCTTGGCTTTTCCCAACATCCTACTCTTTGAAAAGCTTTGTTATGAAAAGTTTACTTTTTCTCATCAACAGTGCTGCAACAGGCAGATGGTGATTTTAAATCTCTACGTTATATTTCACAATGGGAGATCAGTGGTTTTTGATATTTCAGGCATCAGTAGATTTGTGGATTATCGTCATTTAACAAGATCAAGAAGATGGGGAGCTTTTTGTTTTTCTATCACAGTGGTAGAATGTCTTCAGGTTGTGTTTATTTTTTTTTTTTTTCCTGCAGTATATAATTATTTGCTATTATCTCTTAGGATATATATATGTATATAGTTTATATTTTGTAAATGATTGTAAACATTGATTTTTTTTTAATAACAAACACATACGTACCTGCTCTGTGCAATGGTTTTGTTCAAAGCAACCCCAATCCTCCTCTCAAGGTATTTCCCAATGGCAGAAGGATAATGCACCCTGCCACACTGCAAAACTGGTTCAAGAATGATTAAGGAAAACAACAAGTCCCTTGCTGGTGCACTGGGCTGCTTTACCCACGGAGTACTCCATAGCAAGACTTTTGTTATGGGGCACTCATGTGTACTCACTCCCAAGCCATCTCTGTGTGTCCATAGACACCAAGAGCACAGCTCAGCCCCATCCTTTCTCACTGGCTATGATTGACAGCAGCAGGAGCCAATGGCTCCTGCTGCTGTGTCTGAGCCTATGAGAAGGGAGAGAACTGAGAGCCTCTGCTCTCATGCAAAGTGCTGGATTGAGATCAAGTTCAGGTAAGTATAAGGGGGTTCTGAGAGGGGAGGAACTGCATACTGAAGATTTTTTTTAACCTTAATGCAGAGAATGTGCTAAGGTAAAAAACCTTGAACCTATAGAACCACTTTCCTGTTTATTATACAGTCAAATCCTCCTCCCACACTTGCCTCCAGGACTTCTCCAGTGTCTGTCTCATCCTCTGGAACTCCCTACCTCAGTATGTCTGGTTATCCCCCAGCCTGTCTGCCTTTAGGTGATCTTTGAAAAACTCACTTATTCAGGGAAGCCTACCCCACCTCTGCCTAAGAACTGTACTTGAATCACCTCCATCAGATCATCCCCTGCAGCTATCACCTGTTGTACCACCTTTAGGATGTAAGCTCCATGAGCAGGGCCCTCTTATTCCTTCTGTACTGAACTGTATTGTAATTGTACTGTCTCCCTTTATATTGTGAAGCACTGCGCAAACTGTTGGTGCTATATAAATCCTGTATAATAATAATAATAATTACACCAAAATATTAAAATCCTTATTCCAAGCCAAATTTCTTGTCTAAGGCACCACTTGGGGCTGCTTTTAAATAATACTTGTTTAGGTATCGGGGGAAGGGATAAGTACAAATACTTACCTTATTCCTTGCTCCCCTGGCAGCCATTGCTCTCTACACTTTCAGACATTGTAGCTAGCCTTTGCTGGCCTTGTAAACAGTAATGCAGGACTATCAGTTCACAAATTGAAAACTTTAAAGTAGTTCTAAAGGCAAAAGTTTTTCTTTTTACCTTAACTTTTTCTCTGCATTAGGGTGAAATTAAACCTTCCGATGCCTTTATCCTGCTCCCTAGGCATCCCTAAACGCTTACCTGAGTCTTCTCTAGATCCAGTGCTGTCCCATGGGCAACAGCTGTGCTCCTCTCCTACTGAATTCACAGGAGTTTCTAAGAGCACCTGGAGCCATAGGCTCCTGTTGCTGTCAGTCAAATCCTATGATGAGGGAGCTGGGGGTGTGGCCAATACATGCTGTGTGTGTCTATAGATGAGTTCCAATTCAGCAACCAGCTTGCTGAAGAGATACTTGGAGAAAAGGAGGAGCCTAATATGACAATGGAGAACTCCAGAAGAGGAGGTAAGAAACCTCTTTGTGCAATACCATTACACAGAGCAGGTAAATATAACTTGTTTATTATTTTAATTTAAAAAAAAACCTTACAAATACATTAATGTGAACCCCATTAATCAAGTCATTGGGAGGCAAATCTTACAAATCAATTCTCTCCAGTTTCAAGGCTAATAAGAAATAGATTTTCAAACAAAGATCACGAGAAGCTAGGACTGTTCCTCAAGTAATGCAAAAATAAAATGTGAAAACACCATTCAGTGGGAAACATCTATTTTAATAAGGCTTAAAGTGTTACTAAACCCACAACAGTAAAATCAGTCTGTATATGCAGTAAAGAATGCTTGTTATACCCACTGTGGAACTTAAGGGGTTAATCCTCTGCATTGTGTAAAAATTGTATCATCAAAATATATGTATAAAGTGCTAATATACTAAATAACACTAATAAATAAATAAATACTACTGTCCAAAAATTATATTGTCCACAATAAAAAATAAAATCAAATAAAATAAACAAAAATCCTCCAGAAAGACAGTCCGCAAAAAGGCTTCCAGCCGAATGTAGATCCAGTGATTATGGAGATCGAACCTCAAAAAAAGAGAGAACTCACATAGTGTGATACCATAAAAATGCATAAGGTAATATCAACATCACTTCAAACGCATGTGAATCACACTAAACCACACGTGGTGACCCATGCAGGTGAGTATAATGTGAGCTGTGCAAACCACTATAAACACTCTCGTGCAGTGTGCAAACCATGTAAACACGTGTCCACTTCTAAGTGTAAGGATAAAACACCCTTACCAGAACATGGATATAACAAGCATGTAAGTCCCAATCCAAAAACGGCTTTTCAAACTAGGCAAGTGGGAAATTCCTCCTCCATTACCATATAGATTCCCTCCAAAGCTGAACAGATTATGCTGATAAAGTTCATGTAAAAACTCATCCGGTCATGTTCTCAATGACTCCGGATAATGCCACCACAAACAGCAATAGGAAGCTCTTCAATATCACATAAATTTTATTGCATAAGTGTCACATCATATTAAAATTACGAACAGACCCTCCATAGATCCTCAGGAACACTCCTCCTGCGTCTCTGAATGGAATTTCCAGGATCCAAGATGGCCGACCGGCAACTTCCGGTTGCTCAATGCGCCTTGACGTCACTTCCCTTTGACGCGTTTCGTCACCTGACTTATTCATAAAGGTAACTCTCAATGACTTTGTGAAGAAGAAAAAGCCGGACGTGACTATATTGTAGCCGGAAGTGATCTCAGTATGCACCTGCTGCAGCTTCTCAAACGTGTGTATGCAAGAGTCATGTAGCGTGTAAGTGTGTGTGTGAGACTCTCTCATGTCCGACGTCTCATGGTCTTTTAAGAGGCAAATGTACATCATAGTTAGTGATCTTAATACCTTCTATGGAAATTATTACTGCTTAGCAAAGCCATTTCATATAAGGAAGGGATGCTATACATATGATGTTTGATGGACAGGAACATATGTATGCTGATGTACTAATGACGTAACCCTCAGCTATATATTTAAAGAATAGTATAGCTTAAGAACATATCAATGTATAATCACTAAACTATATATGTATCAATGTTAGAAATGTATACTAAATACACACAGATACTATTAAAATACATAATGTAATAATAAGTCACTTCTAATAACCTTGAAATATGCTACCAGCCTAAATATAGTATACTCAGCCTTCAGCTGGTATATACTATCTCAGCTTAACTTGTATATCTTTTGGTCTCAGCTATAATTGAAGAATAGTAAATACTACCATTTGTCAAAGACCATTGACACATATTAATATTAATTATGACTAATCATAAAAACCAAATATTTTGCAAGCTTGCCATCAATATAAGTGCCGAATCATAATTTAGATTTAACACACACTATGTGATTTCTCTCTTTTTTTGAGGTTCGATCTCCATAATCATTGGATCTACATTCGGCTGGAAGCCTTTTTGCGGACTGTCTTTCTGGAGGATTTTTGTTTATTTTATTTGATTTTATTTTTTTATTGTGGACAATATAATTTTTGGACAGTAGTATTTATTCATTTATTAGTGTTATTTAGTATATTAGCACTTTATACATATATTTTGATGATACAATTTTTGGGGTGAAAAGTGTTTAGGTGCAATTGGGGAATTATTTAAAGGGAACACCGTTCAATTTTTGTTATTGTGTAAAAATTATGTTTCATCCTGACTTCTCTGATCCGCCCCGTCTTCCAGTGTCTCCCTCCTATCTTCTGATAAGACATATCATGTGGAGACACAGCACATGCTCAATTTGGTGTGTATTGCTTGAGAGGTTTTCTTCTTGGGAGAGTGCATGTGATCAGCACAGGGCCAATCAGCACTGTCCAGACAGAGGTTCAAGGGTTCTAAATCCTCCTACAGCAAAATGAAAACTCCTCCTAGAAGCTGTAACCAATGCTCTGCTGGACACTGATAGAAGTCACAAGACTGCTCTAACTGCTGATGAGAAAAGGTATTTAGCAGTTTATATTTACTACAATAATTGCATTTCCATGTTCTGTGTACTGGGAGACCAGATATAGTGAACGCAGGGTCCTGGGTTTAGTAACACTTTAAAGTAAACAATTAAACATTCCAAAACTTAAAAAAAGACACCAAAGCCCTAACTACCAATTGAAGGGAGTAAGTGGTGGATGTGTGACTCCAAGTGGGATGCTGTCTCATTTAATGGCAGTAGTATTACTGTCATTAAATGTATGACTTCCTGCAGCAATCATTGTTTTGCTTCGGTGGGCAATTGAACAGACTACTTAGTTCACTAATTTTGGCGAATGGTAGACAGCCAAAGCTTGCAGTGAGCCTTTTGTTGCCAAGGACTCAAACCTCATTACTTTCTTCTATAAATAAGGTATAGTACATAAATAGAACAGTTTTAAAAGTGTAAGTTCACCTTTACAGAAAATCCAGAAGGTGACCTAACTCTGGACCCATATAACATTGCCCCTGGTTCTGCTTTTTTTTTTTTTTTTTTTAAATTTAAATATTTATTAAATTTTTCATGTTAATACAGGTACCAAAAAAAGGGAAATAATTCTTATACAAATAGACATTTATAACATTTCTATCTTTCCCTTACTAAAAACTCTTTTCTTTCCCATCCCACTACCCTCCCCCCTTCCCGCCCCTCATCCCCCCTCCTCCCGCTCTGCAGACTCTAGCCCATTCTAATCACTTGAGGCTTATTAATTTTTTGCTAACATCCTAGTTCATATTTTCCTATATTTTTCTTTCAATTCCGCTCTTTCCCACTTTTTTTTCCATCTCCTAAAATAAACTCTCATCCTATCTTCCTGCATATGGTATGATCTTTCCATTCTACCTATCTGGTTCACTCTATTAATCCAGTCTTCCTCCCTCGGTACCTCAGATCTCCGCCAAAACTTGGGTATCAACCCTTTCGCCGCATTCAAGAAGTACCATATACCTGAATCTTTATATTTTATTTACAGATGTCTCTACATTGTGTAGGAGGCACGTCGTTGGGTCTAACCCTATGTCAATTTCAGTTATTTCTTCAATCAATTTGACTAATTATCTTCCAAAAAGCCTGGATTTTTGGACATTCCCACCATATGTGAAACACCGTGCCTATCTCTCCACATCCTCTCCAACACATATTTGAATTTTCCCCATTCATTTTGTGCTCTACACTCGGTGTAATGTGCCATCGTGTCACACACTTATAATTAACCTCAACCTCTCTCATACTAACATTATCGTGTATCAATCTAAACATCTTTCTCTGTTTAACTTCATCAAACCCAACTCCCATATCCCTTTCCCATTTTGTTATAAAAGTTAACTTTTGTGTTTGTGTCTAATTCTGTGTGTATTCTATACACTTTTGAAATACCCCGTGCTTCCCATCCCTTCGTGTCTCTAACAACCTTTCAAACATATTCCACTCCTGTTTTAGTCTCAGGGGTTTCGGTAGATTTCTAATAAAACATTTCAATTGATGATATTTCCACTCATCTATTCTAATAAAAATATCTCCCTTCTTCTCTATTAAATGTTTTAAGTGATCTCAATTCCCCATCCACCAAAACATCTCTCAGTTGGGTATCCTCCTTTCTAAACCATCTCCCTGATATCTTATTCTTTCCGGGGGGAAAGTACTCAGTATTTGTGAGAGGCATTAATATAGAATTAAATTCCCATTTCATGTTTTTGTGTAAATTGTCCCATACCCTAAAGACATTTAAAGTGTAGATACTTGTGCTTTCTTTACTTCCCCTGAACTGTGGTGGAACCCATATCATCTGACTCAATCTAATGCCACTAAGATCATTTTCAATTGTTACCCAGCTTTTTCCCCTTATGGATTTTTAAATGTCCAGACATATATTCTTGCTAAAACCACTGCTTTATAGTATCTCTTGACATCTGGTAGACCCAATCCCCCTTTCTCTTTAGTCCTACTCAATGTTTCATATGCTATTCTAGGTTTTTTTATTCTTCCATATGTATCTTGTTAACATTTTTTTCATTATCTTAAAGAAGGCTTCTGGAATTTTAATTGGTACCATTTGAAATCTATACAGTATTTTTAGGCATAATTACCATTTTGACTAGGTTTATACGTCCTATCCAGGATGGATTTCCTCCTTCTAGTCTTTTTAAATCTTCCCTGATCTCATTTATCAAAGAGATATAGTTTAATCTATACAAATGCTTAGATGAGGCAGTGAGTTTTATTCCTAGGTATTATTATCTCTTTTTCTCTCCATATAAAGGGGAATTCTTTTTGTAGTTTTTCTTTTTCATTCTTTGATATATTAATATTCAAGATCTCTGTTTTCGTTGGATTAATTTTTAAATTTGATAGTTCACCGTACTCCTTCAGAATCTTCATTATATTTGGGAGAGTTATTCGGGGATTCCCCACATAGAACAATAAGTCGTCCGCAAAGGCCGCTACTCTATGTTTCTATGGATCCTGTCTGAATTCCCTTTACCGATCCACTGTTTCTTATTATTGACAACAGAGGTTCGAGTGACAATACATATAGTAGAGGGGACAGTGGGCAGCCCTGTCTTGTACCGTTAGACATCCCAATGGGTTTCTGATCTCTCCCCATTTACCGTGATGATTGCAGTAGGCTACCTATATAATTTACTTATCCACTCTCGCATTCTATCGCCTATCCCCAGCACTTTTAAGTTGTCCATCATAAAGCCCCAGTCCACTCTATCAAATGCCTTCTCTGCATCAATTGACAAGAGCACCACCGGGGCTTTCCCTTTTCTACTTTTCTGAATAAGCATCAGGGTTCTCAAGCCGTTTATCTCTACCTTCTCTCCCGGTACAAAGCCCACCTGGTCTCCATGGATCCATTCAGGCATCAGATCCCTCAACCTGTTTGCTAACACCTTTGCATACAGTTTTGTATCTGTGTTCAATAATGAGATAGGTCTATAGCTGGAGCACTGAGATGGATCTTTTCCCTCTTTGTGAATAAGTACTACATGGGCCTGTAGGGATTCTCTCCTCACTTCCATCCCACCTCCCAGAGCATTCATATATTTCTCCAGCTTGGGTAACAGTACTTCACTAAATTTCTTATAGTACTTAACTGTATAGCCATCCGGGGCCTGGGCTTTCCCCCCCCCCCCCCCCCCCCGTGCTTCTTAATGCTATTTTTTAATTTCTTCCTGGGAAATATCTACGTCTAGGGAGTTCAACTGTGCTTTCACTTAGTTTTGGTAATCCCCGCATTTTTTTTTAAGTAAATCATTTTTTTTTTCATTAATTCCCTCTTGAGCTTCTTTTAGCGGGCCTTGGGGACTAATATTATATAACTTTTTGTAATACTCCGTAAACACTTTAATAATCTCTTTATTTGAGTGGACCAACTCCCCCTTTGAACTTTTTTATCTTTTTCTATATTTTTTCCTATTTTTTTTTTTATTCAAAGCTCTCATTAGAATATCTTCCTGGTCTGTCTCCCCATCTATATCTCTCGTTCAGAACCCTGTTGTATACTTTTCTCTCTTCTCCTCATCCATCAACCTCTCTAGCTCATCTTTTTTATCCAATAACTTCTGTCTCGTATCTTTTGTTATTTTCTTCTTATGGATCTGCTCCAAGTCCAATATTTCTTTTAAAAGCCCACTGACCCTCTCTCTTCTTTCCTTTTTCTTCCTTGCTCCTGCCGCTATCAAGATTCCTCTTATGAATACCTTGTGGCTTTCCCAGACTGTAGCTATCGACACTTCCCTCTGTTTATCGTTCTCCCTAAAGTATACCTTAATCTCTCTTCTCTCGATTTTCTGAACTAAATCCTCATCCAGAAGAAGAACTTCATTTAAACCTCCACCCTAATCCTCCCGTCCACCTTTCTTCCCCATCCCATTTTTTCATTACGACCGGTAGCATGATCCGAGAACTCCTTGCCTCTATGTCCAATTTTAACCAATGATATGGGGTGAAATTTCACCAATTGTTTTTTTTGGGTGAAAAGTGTTTAGGTGCAATTGGGGAATTATTTAAAGGGAACACCGTTCAATTTTTGTTATTGTGTAAAAATTATGTTTCATCCTGACTTCTCTGATCCGCCCCGTCTTCCAGTGTCTCCCTCCTATCTTCTGATAAGACATAATCATGTGGAGACACAGCAACATGCTCAATTTGGTGTGTATTGCTTGAGAGGTTTTTCTTCTTGGGAGAGTGCATGTGATCAGCACAGGGCCAATCAGCACTGTCCAGACAGAGGTTCAAGGGTTCTAAATCCTCCTACAGCAAAATGAAAACTCCTCCTAGAAGCTGTAACCAATGCTCTGCTGGACACTGATAGAAGTCACAAGACTGCTCTAACTGCTGATGAGAAAAGGTATTTAGCAGTTTATATTTACTACAATAATTGCATTTCCATGTTCTGTGTACTGTGGGAGACCAGATATAGTGAACGCAGGGTCCTGGGTTTAGTAACACTTTAAAGTAAAACAATTAAACATTCCAAAACTTAAAAAAAAGACACCAAAGCCCTAACTACCAATTGAAGGGAGTAAGTGGTGGATGTGTGACTCCAAGTGGGATGCTGTCTCATTTAATGGCAGTAGTATTACTGTCATTAAATGTATGACTTCGTGCAGCAATCATTGTTTTGCTTCGGTGGGCAATTGAACAGACTACTTAGTTCACTAATTCACTATTGTTCTTTTTTGGCGAATGGTAGACAGCCAAAGCTTGCAGTGAGCCTTTTGTGTTGCCAAGGACTCAAACCTCATTACTTTCTATGATAAATAAGGTATAGTACATAAATAGAACAGTTTTTAAAAGTGTAAGTTCACCTTTACAGAAAATCCAGAAGGTGACCTAACTCTGGACCCATATAACATTGCCCCTGGTTCTGCATTTTTTTTTTTTTTTTTTAAATTTAAATATTTATTAAATTTTTCATGTTAATACAGGTACCAAAAAAAGGGAAATAATTCTTATACAAATAGACATTTATAACATTTCTATCTTTCCCTTACTAAAAACTCTTTTCTTTCCCATCCCACTACCCCCCCTTCCCCCCCTCATCCCCCCCTCCTCCCGCTCTGCAGACTCTAGCCCATTCTAATCACTTGAGGCTTATTAATTTTTTGCTAACATCCTAGTTCATATTTTCCTATATTTTTCTTTCAATTCCGCTCTTTCCCACTTTTCCCATCTCCTAAAATAAACTCTCATCCTATCTTCCTGCATATGGTATGATCTTTCCATTCTACCTATCTGGTTCACTCTATTAATCCAGTCTTCCTCCCTCGGTACCCTCAGATCTCCGCCAAAACTTGGGTATCAACCCTTTCGCCGCATTCAAGAAGTACCATATACCTGAATCTTTATATTTATTTACAGATGTCTCTACATTGTGTAGGAGGCACGTCGTTGGGTCTAACCCTATGTCAATTTCAGTTATTTCTTCAATCAATTTGACTATTATCTTCCAAAAAGCCTGGATTTTTGGACATTCCCACCATATGTGAAACACCGTGCCTATCTCTCCACATCCTCTCCAACACATATTTGAATTTTCCCCATTCATTTTGTGCTCTACACTCGGTGTAATGTGCCATCGTGTCACACACTTATAATTAACCTCAACCTCTCTCATACTAACATTATCGTGTATCAATCTAAACATCTTTCTCTGTTTAACTTCATCAAACCCAACTCCCATATCCCTTTCCCATTTTGTTATAAAAGTTAACTTTGTGTTTGTGTCTAATTCTGTGAGTATTCTATACACTTTTGAAATACCGTGCTTCCCATCCCTTCGTGTCTCTAACAACCTTTCAAACATATTCCACTCCTGTTTTAGTCTCAGGGGTTTCGGTAGATTTCTAATAAAACATTTCAATTGATTGATGATATTTCCACTCATCTATTCTAATAAAAATATCTCCCTTCTTCTCTATTAAATGTTTAAGTGATCTCAATTCCCCATCCACCAAAACATCTCTCAGTTGGGTATCCTCCTTTCTAAACCATCTCCCTGATATCTTATTCTTTCCCGGGGGAAAGTACTCAGTATTTGTGAGAGGCATTAATATAGAATTAAATTCCCATTTCATGTTTTTGTGTAAATTGTCCCATACCCTAAAGACATTTAAAGTGTAGATACTTGTGCTTTCTTTACTTCCCCTGAACTGTGGTGGAACCCATATCATCTGACTCAATCTAATGCCACTAAGATCATTTTCAATTGTTACCCAGCTTTTCCCCTTGGTTAAATGTCCAGACATATATTCTTGCTAAAACCACTGCTTTATAGTATCTCTTGACATCTGGTAGACCCAATCCCCCTTTCTCTTTAGTCCTACTCAATGTTTCATATGCTATTCTAGGTTTTTTTTATTCTTCCATATGTATCTTGTTAACATTTTTTTTTCATTATCTTAAAGAAGGCTTCTGGAATTTTAATTGGTACCCATTTGAAATCTATACAGTATTTTAGGCATAATTACCATTTTGACTAGGTTTATACGTCCTATCCAGGATGGATTTCCTCCTTCTAGTCTTTTTAAATCTTCCCTGATCTCATTTATCAAAGAGATATAGTTTTTTTAATCTATACAAATGCTTAGATGAGGCAGTGAGTTTTATTCCTAGGTATTTTATCTCTTTTTCTCTCCATATAAAGGGGAATTCTTTTTGTAGTTTTTCTTTTTCATTCTTTGATATATTAATATTCAAGATCTCTGTTTTCGTTGGATTAATTTTTAAATTTGATAGTTCACCGTACTCCTTCAGAATCTTCATTATATTTGGGGAGAGTTATTCGGGGATTCCCCACATAGAACAATAAGTCGTCCGCAAAGGCCGCTACTCTATGTTCTATGGATCCTGTCTGAATTCCCTTTACCGATCCACTGTTTCTTATTATTGACAACAGAGGTTCGAGTGACAATACATATAGTAGAGGGGACAGTGGGCAGCCCTGTCTTGTACCGTTAGACATTCCAATGGGTTCTGATCTCTCCCCATTTACCGTGATGATTGCAGTAGGCTACCTATATAATTTACTTATCCACTCTCGCATTCTATCGCCTATCCCCAGCACTTTTAAGTTGTCCATCATAAAGCCCCAGTCCACTCTATCAAATGCCTTTCTCTGCATCAATTGACAAGAGCACCACCGGGGCTTTCCCTTTTCTACTTTTCTGAATAAGCATCAGGGTTCTCAAGCCGTTATCTCTACCTTCTCCCCCCGGTACAAAGCCCACCTGGTCTCCATGGATCCATTCAGGCATCAGATCCCTCAACCTGTTTGCTAACACCTTTGCATACAGTTTAGTATCTGTGTTCAATAATGAGATAGGTCTATAGCTGGAGCACTGAGATGGATCTTTTCCCTCTTTGTGAATAAGTACTACATGGGCCTGTAGGGGATTCTCTCTCCTCACTTCCATCCCACCTCCCAGAGCATTCATATATTTCTCCAGCTTGGGTAACAGTACTTCACTAAATTTCTTATAGTACTTAACTGTATAGCCATCCGGGCCTGGGCTTTCCCCCCCCCCCCCCCCCCGTGCTTCTTAATGCTATTTTAATTTCTTCCTGGGAAATATCTGCGTCTAGGGAGTTCAACTGTGCTTCACTTAGTTTTGGTAATCCCGCATTTTTTAAGTATATCATCTTTTTTCATTAATTCCCTCTTGAGCTTCTTTTAGCGGGCCTTGGGGACTAATATTATATAACTTTTTGTAATACTCCGTAAACACTTTAATAATCTCTTTATTTGAGTGGACCAACTCCCCCTTTGAACTTTTTATCTTTTCTATATAATTCCTATTTTTCTTTTTATTCAAAGCTCTCATTAGATATCTTCCTGGTCTGTCTCCCCATCTATATCTCTCGTTCAGAACCCTGTTGTATACTTTTCTCTTCTCCTCATCCATCAACCTCTCTAGCTCATCTTTTTTATCCAATAACTTCTGTCTCGTATCTTTTGTTATTTTCTTCTTATGGATCTGCTCCAAGTCCAATATTTTCTTTTTAAAAGCCCACTGACCCTCTCTCTTCTTTCCTTTTTCTTCCTTGCTCCTGCCGCTATCAAGATTCCTCTTATGAATACCTTGTGGCTTTCCCAGACTGTAGCTATCGACACTTCCTCTGTTTATTTCTCCCTAAAGTATACCTTAATCTCTTTCTCGATTTTCTGAACTAAATCCTCATCCAGAAGAAGAACTTCATTTAACCTCCACCCTAATCCTCCCGTCCACCTTCTTCCCCATCCCATTTCATTACGACCGGAGCATGATCCGAGAACGTCCTTGCCTCTATGTCAATTTTAACCAGATGATCTATAAGTTGATGGTCTATTAAGATGTAATCTAATCTCGAGTATATCTCATGTGCATTAGAGAAGAAGGTATAGTCTCTGTCTTTCATATGCATTATTCTCCAGGTGTCCACTAGTTGATATTCATACATCACTTTTTTCAAAGCTCTCAGAGACCTACCCCCCTCTCTTTGCATGGAAGAGGTATTATCCTTTTGTGGGTCCATACAGAAATTTAGGTCTCCAGCTACAATCAAGCGCCCTTTTTTAAATTCCATTAATTTTTTCAACAGACCCTTCATATACATCTCCGGGTTTTTATTAGGGCAGTATATATTGGCTAAAGTACACTCAATCCCCTGAAGTCTACCTTTTAAGAATAAAAATCTCCCCTCCGGGTCAGTTCTTCTATCCTCCAGCTCAAATCTCATATTCTTTGCCAAACCTATTGCAACCCCTTTTGCTCTTTTAATTGGAGAATCTGCATAGTACCATGTTGGATAGTGTTTGGATTTCAATTTCACGTTTGCCTCTATCTCAAAGTGCGTCTCCTGTAAAAATACCACTGACGTAACCCTATGATGTAACTCATTAAACAACCTAAATCTCTTCCCTGGACAACTCAGCCCGTTCACATTATAGGTTATAAACTGTATTTCTTCCATCATTCCCAATTAACTCCAACTCTCTTCCAGATTGCCTCTTCCTCTTTATCCCTTCTGTCATGCAGAGTATTGACCCAATGCCCCTGGTTCTGCTGTACTGGAGTTCCCATGTCCTTGTTCGGCTCTGGCATGCTGCTTCATTGATCTGGGGATCTGAAATCCATCCAGCTTGATGTCTGCACTGTAACATGCACATATGCATAGAATAGGAATAATAAAGAATATGTAAACCCTCATCTTGTAAAACAACCCATTCGGTTTAAAATAGAAATGAAAGGCAAAACATTTGAGTTTACATATAAAAACATTACAAATATGTTTTTCCCTTTTTTAATAAGTGGCCAGATAACTTCTGTTTTCAGCTGCATAAAGAGCTCATGGAGGAGAAACAGCAGCACACTGATCTTCCCAGTGAATGGC